TGTGACTAGGGATGGGCGATAACTGTTTTCACCTATCGATGAGTATCGGGTACTTACCTATCGATATATTTTACTTATCGATATGCCGATAATTATCGAAATATCGATGGTTATCGATATATCGATAGTTATCGATATATCGATAGTTATCGATATATCGATAGTTACCGATATGTCGATAGTTATCGATATAACGATAGTTATCGATATTTCGATAGTTATCGATATATCGATAGTTATCGATATATGATTACTATCGATATATCGATATGTCGATAGTTATCGATATATCGATATGTCGATAGTTATCGATATGTCGATAGTTATCGCTAGGGATGGGCGATAACTGTTTTCACCTATCGATATAAGTATCGGGTACTTACCTGTCGATATATTTTACTTATCGATATGCCGATAATTATCGAAATATCGATGGTTATCGATACACCGATAACTATCGAAAGATCGATAACTGCCGCTATATCGATAAGTTTCGGTATATCGATAGTTCTCGTTATGGCGATAGTTTTTAATATATAGGTATCGATATAATATTACCGATAATTTTTTTGAAAGCGTGTCTAAAAACTGCATGAGTTTACTTTTATATTTTGGCGAAAGAGCCCGACAAGACAAGAGGGCTCTTTTAACAAAATATGAAAATAACCCAATGCAGTTCTTGCAACTTTAATGGAGTTACCATATTAACTGTGCAATTATCGCAGGGCTCTTTAGCTTTCTACAATGCAATTACCGCTGTAATTAAGCGGTAATTGCACGCCTCATTTGAGAGAAATATTCGACGTATCGATAGTTATCGACAGGGATAGTTATCTTATCGAGTTTTATTAATAAAATCCATTTTCCGGTTTATTCTCGTGTAAAGTGACCATTAATAGTTACTCGACATTTCTTTGCTATCTTTATCAAGAGTTTTTTGTTAGATTTCGTAAATGTCAATCAATTGAAACTGTATATCTAAATTTGAAGTGTTCTTAGCTTTTTCTGTTTTTTGTGACTGGTCCTCTGTAACCATCAATCAGATACCGATACATAGGCCATGATTACACCTTTTGATTGTCTTCTTTATTTTATCTAAAAAGTAGCCATTTTGATGCAACATGTTGTTCAAGTTTTTGAAGTGCTTCTTTTTTTGAGCAATCGTCAGTAAGACGAAAAGATCTATTTTCTAAAGATTTTATTACTGCGTTTATTTGGCATGGATGATGATGTGACGTAGCGCTTCTCTTGAGAAAGGGAGCAAAGTTAAGTTTCCGAAACGTCGAGCAACTAAAAATAGTAAATTTACACGAGAGTAAACCCGAAAATGGATTTTATTATAAAAATAGTAGCGCTCGTTGAAATCTCAACAAGAACATAATTTTATCGTGCAGTTATCGACATATCGATATATCAATAGTTATCGACATATCGATATATCAATAGTTATCGACATATCGATAGTTATCGACATATCGATATATCGATAGTTATCGACATATCGATAGTTATCGACATATCGATATATCGATAGTTATCGACATATCGATATATCAATAGTGATCGACATATCGATATATCGATAGATATCGACATATCGATATATCGATAGATATCGACATATCGATATATCAATAGTTATCGACATATCGATATATCGATAGTTTCGACATATCGATAGTTATCGACATATCGATAGGTATCGATATATCGATACTTATCGATAAGTATCGATATATCGATTTTTTTAGCTCTACCTATTGTTATTCGATATATCGATAACTATCGATACCTATCGATATATCGAAAAAAAATCCCATGCCTAGCTGTGACTAATATCGCGGTCAACAGTGTAGCTTCTTTCTCACAGAGGGTGCCACCAAGAGTTTCATGAAGTCGGTAAAAAATACGATAAAGATATGAAATAGGTACCTAAGCGCTTTTATCTTGCGATGGAGTTGTTCTTACTTTTTAACTAGGCTAGTACCGTTGAGCTAGTACTGTGTAATGGGGATAACAAAAGACAAAAATTTACGAGCAAAAAAAAACTAGCAGGCTATGTAAGTTGCCTATGTTAAATCATTTAGCGATTCTCTTTCAAGGTTAAACAGAGCCTGCTTGTAAAAGAATTTGCTGACAGCAAGAAAAAGATCGTTCACTGGTATATTTTTATTTTGTCAACTACTTGCTTCGAAATTTATTTGGTTTCTCTTTCCTATTCATTGCAAAAGGTAACCTCCTCTTACCTCTACCTATCGTTTTATGAAATAAATAATAGAAATGGGGATAGGTAACATTCCTTTATAACAAATATCAAAATTTTACGTTATTTTTAGAACAAAGGGCTGTTGAGTGTTGTATATTGTTGTTGATGTCTGGCAAGTTGCGACCTTGTGTGGGTGTTTATTTGTAATGCGATTTGTTTGACCGTCTTCCTTATTCTTTATCTTTGCTTATTAGTTATTGCACTTTGCAGATTAAAATCCGTAATTTATAATCCATACCTTGTTGCAAATTAAATTTTTTGAACTTCAATAGTACCATTGAATAAAGCTCTTTATTCAATGATAGTACCTATTACATATTATTAGTATTAGTTTAGTCAGTTTATAGTAGTGTAATGTGTAATAATTGACCTATACAGGGTGATTCAAATTCAAAGGCCACCATGGGGATCTCGGGAACTGTAAGAGATAGGTAGTTTACATTTGACAAAGTTACCCTTGATGGTAACATCATCTAGTTTTAATAAGAAATAACGTTAATTCGTAAAAACGCAAGAAACTACTTACGTACGTTACTTAAGACAAAGGCAAAAAAGATGTTTTCCAAGCATTAAAAACATTGATGTATACATTTTTGAAATCAGAAAAAAATTCACTATCAAATCACACAAAAAGTAAAAATTACTTCCATAAGAAACAAAGTTGTTTATAGCATTGAATAAGCGTTAGGCTTCTTATAGTGTTTTTATTCAATGATTATAGTTAACCGGAGACGAAACGTCAAACTTCAAATTTAAAAGTAGCATCTCCAGGAAGCCCTAAATTCTAATGACTCCGCCACACTTACTGCCACAGTCCAGTACCTTAAGGTGACCGACCTCATCAATAAACTGTAAAAAAATAATAATGTAATCTTTAAGGTGCTAAAAACAAAGGTTGATGTACCTCCAAATAAATCGTCAATAAAAAAAAAGTAGCATCTTGTAGAGGGAAAAAAGTGGCCATAATAATGTGTCATTTATTATTAAATATCTTTGTAAATAACTATTAACTTCAGTAAAAAACAAAAACGATTTTCAAAATCTCGTTTTTTCCGGATATCTCCGAAAGTAGTCAGAATTTTCAGTTTCAAAACTGTTTTTGTTAAGCATCAAAATACACAACTTTGCCAAATTTACCACCTACCTATCTCTTACATTTCCCGAGATTCCCATGGTGGCCCTCGAATTCGAATCAGCCTGTCAATTACTAATTTACAAAACACCATCCCTCGAATGTAAGACATTGGGAACAAATGTATATTTAGGTATAAACGGCTAAAAAATTAAAAAAAAATCGGTATACCGTATGTCCCCGGATTGACTTTACAAGAAGAAAAACTTTTACTATACTTTTTGACAAAAATCCATTCTCCATAAAAGCTTTTGCTTGTTCTAATTCGAAATGTCCCTACCGTTTCAGAGAACAATATAAAAAAAACGAAAATATGGTTGAACTTTTCCAAGTCCTAAAAGTCAAAACGCGTCTTTACTGTAATAACATTTTGTTAGTTACAAAGTCTTCGTTACCTGTTATTTGAATAGGCACTAGGATCGTTATAACAAACACACTTCGTAATGACATTGAATTTCATTAAGTGAAGGAATCAAGAGTTTTACTGAGGGTCCTCCCAAACAAAAAGCCCCTGTCGCCACTTGTGAACCAATTTTACGACCTTAATTTTGAAAGTCCCCCATGCCAATAATTACGCGATTTTTACTTCATAAGTTACGTTACAAGCGGTTCATTATTCTCCTCAAGTTATGTGTGGTAGAGAACTAATTATAATTTTGTTAACCTAGCAGTCTGTAAGGAGCCGTGAACGACCTTGCGTTTGTGTTTTGTATCTTCTTGTCGACTGTCGTGTGGTTATGCAAATCAAATTGCATTTTTTTAAAGCACCCTCTGTGTTGTTTGGGGCCCACTTAAAGAGAGTATAATTATTTAAATATTTGTATAGAAAACTGCTGTAGTTACGCTATTCATTATTAGGTACCAGCACATTTTAACGAAAAAAACTTTGTCCTTTACTATGGGTACTTCTCTTTTCAGGCAATCCCAGCCTTAATTTAATGACCGCGTGAAATTGAAAGATTCAATTAGTTCGGGAAATTGCGATTTTTTTAAAGGTGCTTGCTTTCAAAACGTATTTTACGAAAACAGGCATGCAACTTCTATTTTGGGATACGCGGTGACATGTAAAATCCTAAACGCCATAATGAGAAAATCAATAAAGCTTTATGATGAATATGGAGGCACGTAAAAACAACTTTAATGCATTAACATTGGCATGCCAATACTCCATTATACAATATTTATTAATGTAATTCATTAGTTTTCTATATGTATACGGTGGGTAGGTATGTATTCACTTTGTAATAATGCCAAAGTTTTCACGTAATTAACCGTTTCATCTACAAATTATGCGTCAAATATTTGTTAAATTAGATTATCACGCCTATGCGTGTTTAGACTCTCCATATACTGAAATCTTTTTTTTTACAGCCGAAACATTAGGAAAACACAACGCTCTGCAATGGCGAACAATTCATCTCGGCGGACTGTATCATCAAGAAGAAGAAATCACGATGACTACCACGGTTCCAAATTTTATCGGGGAGATCCAGCAGTTTTATTTCAACAACATTCCATACATAGAATTGGCTCGTTCCTCCAGTACCGATCAGAGGGTTTCCGGTTTTCCTACAATTAAGGTTGCGGCCAAATTTATTAAAAGAGCAACGGACAATCTACATCGGCCTGTGACGTTTCGATCGAAACATACGTTTATTGGATTACCAATGCTACGTGCTTACTCTAGTATTCATATTGATTTTATGTTTAAAACCCGCGAAGCAAACGGTCTAATTGTGTTTAATGGGGGACGTAAAGAAGATTTCGTGGCAGTCGAATTGGTCGACGGTCATATCAATTACATCGTAAATGTCGGTGACGGTTCTGTGAAATTAACAGATACAGTTCCGACACGATTGAACGATAATAGATGGCATACAGTGGGCATTCGCAGGCCCTCATTAAAACAGCACACTCTAATGGTTGATGATAACATAGTTATAGCCGTAAATCAAGGTACGGGTAATTTGGAACTGGATGGTATTTTATATTTGGGTGGTGTTCACAAAGATTTATACGCACAGTTGCCCCAAGAGGATGTCAAATCCAGACACGGATTTGAAGGGTGCATCGCTGGATTGGATTTAAATGGCGAATCTCCGAATATCATGGAAGATGCTGTGGTCCATAGTTCGTTGGTGACCGCTGGTTGTGAAGGTAGACTCAGTGATTTATCAAGCTTCTTCTGATTCACTCAATTTCTTAGGGCAATCCACTAAGTGCAGCCATAACGTTTGTGCTAACGGAGGTGTCTGTGTCCAACAGTGGCACTCGTACACATGCGATTGTGATATGACCTCATTTACGGGACCAACGTGTTCTGATGGTGAGTTGATTTTGTGCTAGGGTTTCATATGACATGTTGCGCTTCGTCCAGAATCTGTGGCTTACGAATTTGGGCCTAATCGTGGAATTATAACGTACACTTTTCCTGAGGATCGTAGGCCTGAAATGCAAGACGACATCATCGCCTTGGGATTTATCACTTCTAAAGCAGATACGGTTATAATGAGAATAATTAGTGGTACATCAAATGATTACATCGAGCTTGAAGTGGTAGGTTAATTATAAACTTAGTGTAGTTTCTCGCTAGTAAGTATGCACACTTTTAGGTCGAAGGAAATGTCTTCATGGTATATAATTTGGGGACGCACGATCATCCAATTGGAGAAATATCACTGAAAGTCAATGACAATACATATCACGTAGTTAGATTTAAGCGTTCGGGTTCTAATGCGACATTGCAAGTGGATGACTACAACGTTCAAACCAATCACCCCACAGGTAAAAGTGGTCTTTGGCGATTTGGAGCTATTTTCATTTTTAGGGCATCAATTGCAAGTGTTCAATAGTCAATCTCAAATTCAGATCGGAGGAAAATGGAGTAAGGGTAAATCAAGGATAGAGCGACCTTTCTCGGGTATAGTAGCGGGGGTTGTCGTCAACGGTATGAGAATTTTGGACTTGGCGGCAGAAAAGGACATACATACGTCGATTCGAGGTGACGTTCAGCTGATGACTGGTATTTTAGATAGGCAAGACATTGAAAATAACGATCTGCAAAAAATGCAACAAGTAAGATTACAGTAATTTTTCAGACCTGACGGGAAATTTGAATGTTATATTTGAAAGTGTCGGAGACGTAAAATTTGACCTTGTGACAGGGTACGGAAAGACCAATAGAATGAGAGCTATCATGTTTCGGTGTGATCAGCTAAATTTTAAGTTTGGGATCGATTTGATGGCGTGACGTCGACACGGGTGTTGTTTTGGAATCTATACATTTTACAGGGTATAGGGTACCAAGAAGGTGTTGTAAGCCGCATTATTCCGATTTGAAACTTAATTGGATTGTTGCTATGCACTTCCGATTTTTTTCACGAGTTCTTTCTCTTTATGTTTTGTGGTCCTTATTTTTAACTAGGCAGAGTATCCGCCAAGTCTGCTCCCGCATTCGAACCAAGGACCCTTGGTACCGCAGTCTCCACTGCTCCACACGGGCTCGTTTTACGCCTTGCGATTATATTTTCATTTTCTACTACGTTTTTGAATTTAGTGAATGTAAAGAATCTTTTACAATTTTTGTTTTTTGAGTTGTTGATAGAGGCAGAATGAACATGTCAGTTTATGAAAAAAGGCATAAACAAGTACAAAAAACCCTTTATTTCCTTTTAAAACGAATTTCCAATTTTTAAAAAACAACATTCGCATGGGATGTATAGAACATGTGTCGTACTCCAAACGTGGATTTTGTAAATTAGTCTACGATAGACTACCTTGAATGAGGCTACGTGCAAATTAAGACAATAGGTTTACAAAAGCGTAAGACAACGCCCACATTGGCACATCACATGTGAGTATTAAAATGCACTTATTTTGATATTCTTTGTTCCCGCACCATCTTGAAGAATCATTAAACGGATTAATAATAATGTTTCGTGGATCTCTAAGAAGTTTTCTAAAAGATTCTTAAACATTCTAGAAGAAACGAATATTTCAAAAAAATTTTATTTTTATTTCTTATTGCAACGGCAACGAGAAAGTGTTTTTTATTGTTTTCTATCTGTTCAAATAACGCCAGAAAAATATAAAATAACAGCATCGGCAAATTTCAGTTATTCTGGCATATCTTCGGAAGTAATCGGAATTGTCGGGTTTTCTTTACAGCATGATAATTAGTACTCTTTAATTGTGCAACTTTTGTCAGTCTTGGAACATAAAATAGAAGTGTCTCAAGTAAACAACAACAATCAATTTTACCGTGCAGTAAACTGTAGTGTAGAAAGAAGGCGCGAGTAAGTTTCGAACGTGTTTTGCAAGGTCTTTTGATAGAAGGTAGCAGTTGATAGAAAACAATTCCTTTTTTGAGACCTCTCTTGAACTAGAATACTATGAAAGATAAAATTAATCCCCCCCCCCCCTCCCACAAACCAATTCATTTTGATGGGGACTTTCATTAGAATACCATAAAATGGTACAACGTTGTGTTTACCCCCTCCCTCTTCTCCAATTTCAAAAATTTTTCTTGACACTACTAAAGGCATCGTATGCCAAATCTGACACCAACCCACCTTAAGACAGCGAAGTTTGAGCCCGTCTGGCACACCTTCAAAGTATCGCCTACCTGTTGCAAAAAAATTCAGGACTCGGAACAATTCCCCTAAAAGTAATTCAACACGACGCACAGAAGTAGGTGCCGACGGACGGACAACTTCTAATTTACCGCCGAAACGGAAAACGGGGTTGTTAATAAAAAAAGTGCACTAGCCTGTGCGGCACGGAGATTATGTACGTAACTGTTTTAATTTTCAGACTCCAGCGTCGGGATTTCCAGGTGTAATGGACGATCTAGTTTTTAGCGGCGCAGGATCGGGCTGTAACGGTGACGACGAGGACGAATGTCCGCCTCTGCCTGATGCAGGTTCGGGTAGTGACGATTTGATCACTCCGGTTTATATTCCGCCAACCCGCCCACCCCCTACCACAAAATCGCCGCATCGTCAACCTCAAGAAGGTGGAAAGCCGTGCGATGATGAAGATTGTCCAGATATCGGTTCTGGTTCTGGTGAAGTATCCGAGGACTCTTCTACTACTGCCTCTTCTAGGACGGGTATAACTTACGTTTGCTTTTTCTAAATAATGTTGGCTAATCCAATTTTTTTCTGTTAGAAACTGTACCGCACGTCACGTCGGAGACCTCAAACACCAGTACTGCCGAGTCAGGGACAACGGACGGTGAAACATCAGAAGGAACTGGTTCTAAAGCTGGTACGGGAACAACGAACCAAATTGATGGATCAACCAGCTCAGGTACATTTGAATCCACTCACTCCGGATCAGCGGTTATAACAGAAAGTACGCCACCTATTGATAAACTTCCAGAACCGCCAATCAAGTACCAGCCACCCGGAGCCGATTATCCAACGTTCTACCAAACCACAAGACCACCTGCAAAGAAACGTCCCGAGCGCGTAAGCTCAGAAACATCCGAGATAATATCGTTAATCATCGGCGTGACCGCGGGGGCGTTGATCGCGATAATTCTAATCATTCTCCTTATACTTAAATTTAAATCTCGGGGTGACCGTTCGTATAAAGTCGACGATGGTAAGGGCTACCAACAGGGCCCTAATGCCGCCCTGTTGGGTAATGCGGGTAGTACAAACGGACAAACACCTTATACAATGAATGGTGCTTTAAGAAATGGAGATAGAGGACCAGTTCCCAAATCTAAGAAACGCGATAGCAAAGATATAAAAGAGTGGTACGTGTAAGTGTTATCGTTCTTTTCTAAAGACTCCGAGCCATTTTGTCGTGATCCCTTGAATGAACTTGAACTCCTATGTGGGTATATCATTAAGATAAGTGAAATGAAGTGATATCTGACTATTAGATCTACCAAAAACTGACGTCATTTCCAGTACTCATTTTTAATATTACCATATACTTTAACTACGGTTACAGAGAATTAAATAAAAAAAGCCTTGCATGCGAATCGGTTCCTAAGCACTTAATGGTTTTGTAAAACAGCACCTCCAAATCCAAATATAAGTGCTATTTTTGATAAAAACCAGATCTTTAATTCTTTGTAACTGTTGAATATTTCACTTCATTGACATGTCCGCCAGTTACTAGAGTGTTTATTGACTAGTTAAGTAGAAATACTCACAAAATTGCAGTAATGTATCATCAACAACTAATTACATCTTAAGTTTAAGATTTACAATTATAAGAACAGATTTAGATCACCCATCACAGGCACGGGTTCTTTCTTCTACTCATCTGCTCTATTTGAATTTTACACTAACCATCGACTACATTTGCTAGTTCTTGTGTGGTACCTTTGATAACCACATATTTCTAAACGTTTTGAGATCATTGTAAAATATGAAGGCGTCAAAGGTACCGACATCACGCCTTATTCCATTGATTGAGGACTACTGATTGAAAGAATTGCAGGTTAGCATAGCTTTAACACAGAATAAATCAATAATAAACAACGCTTACAATACAAACAAATAGTAATTTTTGGTAAGTTTACTTTTATATCATAATGATGTTAAAATTGTGGCTCTTTATAAAAACAAATTTGTCTACTTATAGGTACATTTCAGTGACTATCAAACTGTAAAACTTGAAAATGAGACTGCATATTGCAACTATTAATATCATATCATATCAAGTAACAGTAGATGTAAATTTTTGGGATTAGAATATTAGCTAGTTTGGTTTAGGATAGTGGTTTGTAAAGTACACCCAAAGTGCTGTTATTTATTGCCTTCTTTGTTAAATGTCACTAATGTGCTTCATCCCATCCCTATCATCTGTGTTGTTCGCTAACATATTATATTTTGTAACGTTTTCAATCCGTGCCTGTTTTTAAATTTTTTTAAAACCTAGAAATCTATTGAAGTTTAAGACACTTTAACACGATAAAGTTGCATAATAATAATGATACCTACTTACCTTACCTACACTAAAATTGTGCAAAGACAAACTTGCATAAATAAATAGCAATATGAGAAAGTTAGCTATGCCATTATGATCTTTTGATTTTCAGTTAGTTGTTATCTATACGTTGTGTATAAAGTTGTAAGTAGAATAGCATTTTGTATTATACTTTTGGATTTTGTTAGAGCTATAATAAAATGGCATATATTTGGATGTTAAATAAGTACTGTTTCGTTAACTTTAAACCCTTGCAGAAACTTCACCATGACAGACATCAAAATTGTTATTTCTATATTATGCAAACATCTTAATCATCTGTACAATGTGAGCTTGAAAGCGGAAAATTTTCGTTTGGCCAAATACAATAAATCCGAAGTGCAGAATGTAAGGACTGTTAATGCGTGATTCCATCGAGCTCATTTGACAAGTTTGCAGGTTAAAACATTTTGGAGACTTCTTAGCAGAATGGTAGACGTTAACTCAGAAAATACCGTAACGTATGTGAAATCTTATTTCCTAAAAGTGTTAAAATACAAAAGTCTCCATTTTTACTCTTTGCCCGAAGATATGTCGTGTGGAAGTCGAGAGTTACTCATTGCACTTGCATATTTGATTGCAAATGAGTTTTTAAACAATCGCATACAAGACATCATTAATAAATCTGTGTTTAATCCAAACAAACAGTCACACTCCTCTCCGGATACATCATCAGATAGCAAAGAAGATAGTAACATTGTTGTAAAACAGATTAAAAATAACGAGGATCTTGAAAATATGATGCAGTGGATTGATGGTCAAATTGAGTATAATAACAGGCAGTGCTGGGAGTATCAGGAGGCTATCAAGAAATTATTGCTGAAGGTTTGTATTGATACTTCATTCAAATTATTTTTATTATCTACTTGTTTTATTCATTTGAAAAATCAGTGTAAATTTATAGAACAAAGTTGATACCAATGTAAGTTATTGTCTGAGTGAATTAGAAATTCGCGCCTTAACTAATGAAAAGGAATGTAACAGCTTTTTAGAAAAATCTAAGGAAGTTTCTAAGGTAGTACACCTGCATAGTAAGTGGTTATCTGTACAATCAGACTTTTTTAAATGGATGGTAAGGGTGTTATAAAAAGGTTGGTGTTTTTTTTTAATATTTATGTTTTAGGATTCAGTTCTTACAGAAAGAGATAAGGACATTAAGGGGTTGAATTGGAAAGAACTTGATACCTACTGCAAAAGATTGTAATTAAATTAATTTCAAAATCAAGTTTCTTTTTCTATTCCTTTTGATATACCTACTAGGACAAAAACCCCTATCCATTAACAATAAACCCCGGATCAATAACCAGTGGACAGTAAACCCCCCAAACGTGAACAATAACCCCCAAACAATTTGATAGGTACCTATGCACTCCAGGAAAATTAAGAAAAAAAACCTAGACCTACAAATAGCCTACACTATTAAATTTAAATTCTTTAAGAATTTTTGTATGAGTTTGCTTTAGAAAAGAATCCACATGGGAACGTGTAAATCATCAAACTGTAAAAAATGCCATGGGGGGGGGGGGGTTATTGTTCCCCGGGGGTTCATGGAAAGGGGTTTTTCTATTCTATCATGAACAAAATGAAAAGTTCACTAGGGAGCATTTTGTATCCACAATTTTTCCATCAAGAAAACAGTTGTAAATAGTCATCTCACAAACAATCTTAAATTATGACTGCTCGGTATAACTTACAACAAATAATATCTTATATTGGTAAGTATTATAATTTTTCTTGTGCTTAAATGTTCAATTATGTCTATTGTCTTAGACCATTCTGCTTTTGCAGTCAAGCACAAGGTATATAGAACTGAATACCTCTACATTTCCATCTCCATGCTCTTAAGTTATTCATTATTGGTAAGTATTATAATTTTTCTTGTGCTTAAATGTTCAATTATGTCTATTGGCTTGGCTAATTTCATTCCCCCATGTCTTCGTTTGGGTTTTGGTCTTCTACTCGTGTTTTTTTTGTGAATTTAAACACTTTCTGTTATTCCAATGTTGATTAAACAATTTTTAAGTAATTGATGGATTGTATGATTTTTCTGCAACCTTTTTGTTTAATTATTAATAAATGCACTAAAAATAGTGGTTGGCATTGAAAAATATTAGTCTGTTTTAAATTAAGTCGGCGCTATTGCAAACTTTGTTAGTTGTAGAGTTAGAACGGCGGCGCGGTTATATTATCAAAATTTTGTGTTTTTTCTACTGAATCCAAATCTATAATTTAAAAACAAAATCGCATTTTTCAGATAATAACAAAAATGTAACTTTTTTATATGAATCATATGACAGCGTACCTATTAATTTCTCTGTAAAAGTTATTAATGCATCATACCCAAAATATGTACCTACTTCAAATAACCAAGATCTTTCAATTATTTTCATTTCGATCTAGTTATCCATGAAAATAGTAGTTTGGTTATGGTGTATTATGAACTTTTGTAGAGAATTTAATATACGCTGCCATATAAAAAGTTACATTTTTGTTGTAATCTGAAAAATGCGATATTGTTTTGTTTTTTTTTATTACATCAAATTTGGATTCAGTAGACAAAATTACACAATTTTGATCATTTAACCGTCTTACTAACTCTACAACTAGGAAAGTGAGCAATAGTAGTACCATTGTATATTTATTACAATGGCAGTACCTACCGACTTAATTTGAAACAGACTGTAGATATACCCTCCTCGACTCTGCATACGTGTACGCCACTGGCCACAATTTTAAAATAGCCAACTTGTCTTGAACACCCTATAGCTGCCTAGGGTCCCCGAGGACTCTACTGCTCGAGGAAATCATCATTTTTGGCATTTTGTAAAATTCGACTTTACAATAGTTAAAATAGGTAAGTATTTTCGATCCTTGTACGCGCTTCTGGCTTCAATAGATCACTAGTTCTTTATTATGTCATTTGAAGGAACCACCATTGTTTATTATTTAAGTCTGAAAAAAGTCTTATTAAATTTTTAACATTTTGTAATAGTGGTAGGCGTTGACAAAATGTCAAAATAATTAATTGATGGTTTCTGTAAGTGGCATATACACGACTCGACAAATGAACCGATACGTTATAAATTTATGCATGTCTTCTCTGTTCATTATAATATTATACAAAAGGTACAATGGAGGTACGCCACTGGTCACGCATGGCTGAAGATATAAACTGCTGATAGTATACAGAAAACAAACACAGTTTTGTGCACCAACAATATGTCCGACACACACCCTCTTCCATAGTCTAAGGTGCCGTACATCATTGTATTCGTAATAAAATACAGTATGTCCTTTTTTTCCAGTTCATATTGTAACGAAGCACCCGTTTTAGTGACCAATGAACACCCGGTATCTAGAAGCGTTTCAAGTTGGACACTTCCTTAGGAAAATTGTCCTGCTGAAAATATTTATGTTGGTAGCAGTTGAAGATACAAAGTAAAAGTCATTGATTTAACTTCTACAGTTTGTTTTAGCGGCTGCAACCGTAAATAAAAGCTTAATTAATTCGTCGTTTGTAACCGTTCCCGTGAAGATATTTCAATTGTCTTTGTTGCGTTCGAGGATTATTGTGTCGCTTTCCTGCAAGGACGTAATTACTACCAAGTGGGCTTTCACTTTAATTTGACTGCCACCAGTAAAAACAGCATTTAACATTTTCAAAAATGTATATTCAGCGTCACAACAACAATAACATAAATATACAGTCTTCAATTAATAGTCGTAAAATATTGAAAAACAACAAAATCACCATCACCGGCCATCAAATCTCCTCTTCACTATCCGCAACCGCATTTTCAAATATATGATCAATAGACTTGATAATCTGTTCAATCTGCTTGTTGGCTACATGAAATTCCTTTTCAAAGTCGGATAACGTGTCGTCATCAAGTTCTGGCTCTTCAAAGAAAGTTAGACTTTCTTCATCGGAATAAACATTAGGTGCAAGTTCATAGCCATCAAGCTCGGCTGAAATAATTTCAATAGTTTGATCTTCGTTTGGAGCGATCAAAGTTGTTTCTTCGCTATCTTCACCTTCAAAGACTGTATTTTTAACTTTGATTTTTAAGTTGTCCTTTGTCACTCGGTATTCCAATGACGCTTTTCTTCTTCGGGGTTTATGCTTTTTGTCCGGTTTTACCATGCCGCTAACTTCTGAACCGGTTACCAAGTTATAATTTACAAACGCCTCCCTCACTTTGTCTTTAATTAAGCTTTTGTTTATGATGTGACGATTTGAATCGATGATGTTCAAAATTTCTTCCTGAATCTTTGCCAATTCTTCCCTTTCTAGATTTTCTCTTTCCGCCCTAATAATGCTTTTTATAACATCCTTCGTGCTCTCTTTTTTCTCTGCTTCTAAAGCAGTCATTTCATTTGTTAGGTTTTGCATCTTTGCCTGTTTGAAATTGTGTATCACTTGCCGAATTTGTTCTTTAACACCAAATACGTCATTGGAGCTTTCCAGTGGTTCGATTTCTGCTGCCACGGAATCAACCACATTAACATCTGGGTCATTGAATTCTATCGTTTTGATTTCTTGTGTTTTCTCTCTAATTATTCGTTTAGTTGCGCTATCATCAGCATTTTTATTATCATTTTCGCTTTTTTCACTGGTTACACGTACATTTGCTGATGCCCGCTTCTTATCTTGCGTTTTTCCTTTGGATTTCAGTTCTGTAATTGATTCTTTTCGGACATCTACCTTCATATCGTCCACATTTTCATCAAATGTTACTTTTTTCTCATGTTCTATTATTGCAATATTATCACTCTTTTTTGAGCCAGCTGATTTCGTATCCAAAGAGACGTCTAATTTAGTTTTTTTTTCAATATCTTTTTCGTTAGAAAAATTAGGTTTTAATGTTATTTTTGAGCTGATTTTTGGGGCATTGGATTCTACACTTTTTAATGGTTTTACTCTCTTAATAGGTTCGAGAGGTTTTATCTCCAATTTAGCTTGCTTTAGATTGTTGTACTTCTTACCCGAATTCTCCTCTGCGATAACATCTGCTTTAAGTTCTTTTACTAGCTTCTTCATACTGACACCATCAGCAACAATCTCTTCTACTTCCGTATTTATTTCCTCATCTTCTGAAATTTCGTCACTGGCACCATCAGTATTATCTTGCGTAAGCTCTTGTGAACTACTCATCAATTCCAGATAATTATCCTTTCTTCTTAGAATATAGAGAACTGGCTTGGTTATTATCTTTATAGGTGGAATCGTAAAGTAATCGAAAGATATGTGGTGAAATGCTTCAACTACATCTATAGTGTCGTGCGTTCTGGAATACGGTATCAGGTTATTTGAAAATTTACTTTTGCCTTCAACGATCAGATGCGTGAATTTGTAACTTTCTATGCTTCCAGAATGCAAATTTTCAACTTTGCTGTATCTGTAATAGAAAGCAAATTTATATGCATTTTAAGTGAAAAATGTGCTGTCTATTGTAAGCAAAAGTACAAAAATAGTAACACACTAACTCTAAATTTCATTATCTATATTTCCAACTAATCGCACACTCACACACTTTCTATGCCAAAATCCAGATTAGTACCCAGAGCTTTCCGATCATACCTGTATGATTAAAATTACTTGCTTTAATTTTCAATGAAACAAAGTAATCGTTTAGTTTGTTCCTTGGTCCTATTGAAGTTACTTGAAGTGATTTGGTATGCCGCAAACGGCCCACTGGCATTTGTCTAAACAGTTCTATTTGCTTAATGCAAATGCAATGCGACCAATGGACAAATTATTTAGCATAAATACACCCTACGGCAAAGCTAAAAATATGCACCCTACCTTTTGGTACCATATGGTACACAGATTTTACTTACGTCCAATTAGGATGTATTTGAGTGAACCTTGACACTCCACTTTGTGCAGCTAAATTATCGATATGAAGTATTACATGAGGTTCGTCTCTTGCAATGCGATGAATGTGTGACATTGCCGCACCACCGGGATAATTAGTGCTTGAAATAGCTAATAAAAATATTGTAAATATCACATTCAAGAACAAATGCCCGCAAACTCCCAAGGAGAGCAAATGTTGCAATGGCGATTTGTATCGGTTTTCCCAACTGAAAGAGACCACTTTCTGTAATGCAATTACTATTCAACTTCGATACGTACATTCGGTGGCAGGCTGTTGCCGCCGCAACGTTCAATAAGGGAAAAATGTAAATTATGAATCTCAGTTCTTTGTGTGGCAAAAATGAGTATAAGAACACAAAGAGTAACGGTGGAATTATCAGTTTTCGCACTCTGCTGTCTAATATTGCACCAATTGGTACCAAGAAGACAGAGGCAGCCAATCCTCTGGGAATTGCTGAGTAAAAATACCACAAAAATGGCGAGGTCTGAGCATAATTAAGAAAAATTTTGGTAAATTTGTTTACTGGTTCATTACATTACGACTAGCAATACCATCTAAAATACAATTTTTATGACCCTTTATTGATCCCCAACTTTCAGATTTTTTCTTTACTTGTTTGAAACTTATAATCCAGTGACCATTAGGGAAACCCCATATAACTATTCGTAGGTACTCATACATTATACTGTGTCTGAACAGTGAGTACAAAAATTATTTCTCCATTTGTAAACGGAGAAAAGTTAGAGTACGTGACGTGGAACGACCATCAAAATCAGCAGAAAAGCGATGGCATCACTTTTCCGAACTGGCGTTACATGCTATTGGTCATAGAGTGGGCGTATCTTATTTTCGAAATTTTAGTTGTGATTCGTGAGAGAGAATAAGGCTCGCAATAAAACATTTAAATGCCTTTTCTTGTGACTAAAAACCTGCATTTGAAATTTTTGAAAAATCCTAAAAATAGGTAACTGAGATATCACCGGTAAGCTGAAAATGTCAAATTTCGTTTGCATTTTCGCAACTTTTTTTCAGAGAATCTGTTTATGAGAATTTCCATAACACTCTAGATGTAGAAGCTACTTTCTTATTTCTTATGGACGCCATATTGGATTTTTACGAAATCAGATAAAAATGAATGTAAAACATTTGATTTTGAAATTTTTCTTGTAAATTTATGTAAAAGTAGAGAGTATGACACGTCACTATTTTTCTTTTTTTGTCCTCTATCTCATTCCCTAAGAATCTAACATGGCGTCCATAAGAAATAAGAAAGTATTAGCTCACTGTAGCTTCTACATTTAGCGTGTTACAGAAATTCTGATAACAGATTCAAATTCTCGAAAAAAATTGCCAATAGAAGGTGCAAACGGGAACCGTCCATTTCCGACCGTTTAAGCTAAGGAAAACGAAAACAAAATTTCACATTTTCAGTTTTTCGGTGGTATCTGTTATTTTCAAAGATTTTTCAAAAATTTCAAATACGTTTTTTTAGTTACAAAAAGGAGCAACTTTGTCCCTATTCAACCTACACTGTATCTCTCACCGTTACCGAGATCCCACTGGTAAGCCACGAATTTGAACCACCCTCTACATACATACAATGTATGTTTTGTTTTCTACATAAATATACTTTATTTCGTCTTAATAAAAAAATGTTGGTTTAAAAAAGTGAGTAAATCTTCCATCCGACATTTGTGAACATATCTTGTTATATTACAAAATATGTAGTTACTTATTTTATTACATTTCAGTTTACCTAAGTCGGTATACTGTACTATGATTTATTTTTATATTTTCCATTTGTTTGGTGCACTATTTGTTACTGCTTTATTGAAGGTACCTACTTGTAGGTATTTTATGATTATGTATGTTTTTTACCTAACCCTTAAGTGATACTGCCAGTCGTAATGTGCATCTGTTCCTAATGATTTAATACCATAGAAACACAAAAATACCAATACCTCGAACGCTATTCTTTAAGGATACCCCGTAATCCGAACTTCGGTTTAATATAGTATTAAACCAGAGAACTTCTCCTTCCGGCCAAAGAGGACGATTCCAGAAAATGGAGTCAATTACTACTGTAACGGACAAGGCAATAATGCCAAACGGAATTGCAAGTATGAAAAGCCTAAAAATAGTAAAAATCAGATTTATAGAAAAATATGAACCATACTATGTTACATTAATAATCTTACTCTTTTATTGTAATTCGTTTAAAGATCAAATCGTGGAGCAACAACAGTCCTAAAAGTAAAGCTAGCTCGGCTCGAAATATGATTATCGCAAATGCAGAGAAACCAATGAATGATTTATTGTTGTTATTTAACCACCCATTTATAGCTAATAAAACTAGAAAAAAGCATAAGTACTTAAAGTGAGACACGCAATATCACTCCTTACCTAAAGCTAAAGCGAAAATATTGGGTAAAGGTCGACTTAGGTAGAACATAAAATGACTTTGAGTCACTGTAAGTGCAATAAACCATTGCAACCAGCTCACACCGAAAATACTTTCTAATGTTTTACTTAGTTTGTGAAATGAAGTTATTACGCATCCACCCAACGCTGCCCTAACTAAAATATAAGTTGAAGTAATACAATGGAGGACTTATCGCATCTTACCTAAGTATTGAGCCCAAAATTTGTTTAGTTCAAAATATTGAATGAGCGCTGCAAACGGTGATACTAAAATTGAAATAAAAAGGGGACCTATAAACGTTCGTGGGACCACACCAGGAAACTCATGATGATCGTACTAAAAGGCATTTTGTTACTACAAGTCAAACTTCACACCACTAATCATGTACAGCAGATAAATTAAGCTGGTGGTACAGAATATCGTGCATAGCTTGTAAATTGAAGCTCTCTTCTACTTTGGTGAATGGACAATAAATAAGGTGTGCGGCTGCTATTATCATCATTATTTGCGACATTTTGGTCGTTGATAAACGTTAATAATATTTATTTACATAATTATATACAAATTAGATCCAAAATAGAATTAACCTAACCTAAAAATAACTTAAAGCACGTGGGAATGACGTTTCAAAACGGGAGCCAATAAGATGTGTCCTATTTCGCCGGTAATTTTTCTGGGACGGATTAAGGACCAGAGTACACATTTTGAATGTATTTCATAAACGAAGGTATTTTTATTCATTTACAAAGGTCACATTTAACAGTATAGTACTGTTACAATATTCATTGCGCTATTTTTTCTGTGTAAGGTGTATTGCCTAACCGTAGGGACACGTCATCACAGTGTACAGTCACAGATATACGTAAAATATCTGTGGTAAAACGTAGCGATCTACACAGCATCAATATCATAAAGGTAAAATATCACATAAGTACCTAAACATAGGACTTCTAAATATAAGGGATGCTTTGCCTATGTGGCTCCCCATGCACTTAATTTAATTTTTGAATTTATAAATTTAAGTTACCCCAACTTCAAATCTAAAGTCAATGGGTCTTTAATACTATACGTAAAATTAAAGTTTAACTTGCACTTAAAGTCATATTATTACTTTTATTATTTTATTACCTTTATTTGTCTTTCTTTTTTGTTTTGTTGTTTACTAAATACAATCATAATGTAAGTTATATTATAGCAAAGAGTAAACTCCTTGATTATAGCTAAGCTGTGCCATTATTATTATATACTTTCGCAGAATGGAAGAACGACCACGTCGAATTTTTGCCTTTGCGTCTTTGTTTTCATCATTAATAAATAAAATATTATTATTATAAGTACGTATGCTAGCGAAGGTTTCTGATCTAGTAAACGTAGGTCAGGTGCGGCGGCGCAGCCATCGAAACAGAACTTATGTCTCATTCAGGAGAAAAAACAATTCTACTAGTTTGGAATAATAAGTGTGGATCATTCTGATAAACAAACAAATTATTAATCTTCCAGAAAGCTTGTCCACAGAAAATGTGTGCTCAAATAAAAGCCTTTTTAGCTTTTAATACTTTACTTTATCTAAATGTAACAATACAATGATGATCAGACAAAATCAATTCCACTTTCTAGATACATCTTGGTAATCACCATCTGGGGCATAATAGTTATGTATTGACGGTGTGTCGGAAGGACCTTCAATTTTCAATGGTAATAACATCGGCTCAATCTAAAATTACAATTCATTTTTATTTTTGGCAACCAGATAAAGGATACTTACTTGAACAGCTTCTAGGTATAATTCCTCCGATTCCTTACGTAATTCATCAACAGCCTTTTGCTGGGCATACATGATCCTATCGACCAACTGAATATCGGCCAAATGCTCCTCGTGCTTGTACTTGGCCCACTGTTTTTCCAAGAGCTCCCTTGTTTCTAAAACTCCCTTGCTGTATTTGAAGGGTTGACGTACTCTCTCTCTGAAAAAATGTTCACATGCAGATTAAGCTAGGTACATAATGTGATTTGCTACTTTTGATTGTCAAGGAGAACAAGTGGTATTTCACATTCTTCAATGGGTTTCAGTTGACGAGCATTTTTTTCCAGTCGACGAATTTGTTTTTCAATTTTTCTCTTTTTCCGATCTTCTCTAGCTTTAATGATGGCAGGATCAAGCCTTTTCTTCTTCTTTAACGGCTCTCCGCTGAAATGTTGTCACTAAAATACTACACTGATGGGAAACCACTTACGCTAAGCAAGGTGAGGTGTGAAACAAGAGCTTAGAGGTTCTACATGGTAAAGGGAGAAGAGATAACCTAAAAATTGTTGTTAAAACTTGAACACTAGAAAGATACCTAATACCTACCTACTAAATGATGAGATTATGCTTATCATTACTTATGTATAGAATTGCTTGAATTAAAAATTGGATTGAGATGCAATACAACAGGGTACAGAAGTGTTTATTGTACCTCTTCGCTGTTGTGGTTGTGGTAGTTTTTTATCCGTGCAGAGAACACAGAAACGTGCCTAGAAGAGATATGGACAGGTTAAAATCTCAAATTTATCACATAACGGATCCTATTCCATTCAAACATAATTTCAAAGGGAAAATATGTATGAGGTTTGAATAAACAAAATATGATATTGATATGCCCAAACTCATTTGGTGAATGCGTCCAGCAATAAGGTGCTGGATCAGCTGTCACCAAAATTTGACATCTCAAAAGAAATCGTAATTAAATTGCACGGCCTTCTTCTCTTTCTCCAAATTTACTTGTAAAAACCTAGCCATCTATTTCTGAGTAAAATGAATTCTGCGCGGGTAAGTAGTACCGAAAATCGCTTGTATTTTGTAAATACATAATTTAATTCCTTCTAAGATTTAGTGCAGCAACAATTGTTATGTAACTGTTTCATGATATCAAATACTATAAAAATAGGGAAACTATTAGCTTTGTATTTCAGAAAGTGCTACCTCTTGCTCGTATTTGTGCCAGACAGCTTGCACAAGATGCTAAACATGGGGAAGTAAAAGAAGTTCCATCGAAATACTTCGCTAGATTGAAAGAAGCCCAGAAAAGATTTCAGGTATTAATTCACAGCAACAGAGTAAAGGTCATTAATAGCTGAGTTAATTACAGGTGGACGATGGTGTTCCAATTTTCCTCAAAGCAGGTTTACGAGATAGAGTCTTGTATCGAGCAACCGCAGCACTTACATTTGTCGGGATGGCCATGTCGGCTCAAGTACTTTATAGTTTAGCTATCCGCTAATGTTTTTAGTTATTTAAGAAAGTAGAAAAAGTGTAATATCATACCTTTAATATAGTGATGTATAATCAGTGATAATTTTTGTTTAAATTCATGGGAGAATTGTAGTGATCCATTGTTATGTATACAGTGCATTTCAAAACTATTATCTTAGGTATATTAGTGCACTAATCGTTGGTTGAAAATCATTCATTTGTACCTAATTTAAGAGATATCATTGGTTTCTCTTCTGTATACCTTGCTAAATAATTTGTTGTACTGTCCCAAATACTAATGGCAGTCTACATAGAATGGAGCGGAGTAAGTTGAACTACTAAATTTGCAATGAATGATAAGTTCCAAACATTTTCAATTATTTATTACTTCCTAAACATCAATTTGGGTAATTTGGAGAAATTTGTGCATGTTTGAAGTGGTTACGAGACTTTCACTGATTGTGTACCCTAAAAGGAAAGAGTCATTTCAGCCCATCTTTGGCCGTTTGCAACGACAAAGCTAGGGTAAGTGTAGCTCAAAATCCATGGCAACCATTGTCGCATCGTTGCCATTGATTTTAGGCTACAGTTAAGCTAAGCTCAGCTTAAATTTGTCAGTGCAAACCATTGCAAACAGCCATTAGTGTACTTAACCTACCTGCAGGCTAAGATCATACTATATCATATAAGCCTGCAGGTTCTATGCTAACTAGAAACTGCACACTACAGTAATACGAAAATAAAACCAATATATGTACAGCAAGATATAGAATTGGTCATGTACTATAAGGTCGGGGGTGAAGGAGATCTAAGAGAACACGGTGATGAATTCTTGATGGAGGCGATGCGCGAGTGTTTTTTTCGCTCGTGAGCGCTTTTAACCGCCCTCAAGCGCTGCTGAGGGGTTAAGCGCCGCTCGCGACCGTTTTTTTAAAAAGCATCGCTTCAATCTCAAAAGTGCGATTTCAGTTCAACTTATCATGGTGAAGGTATTACAAATAAATCAGCTTTGTATCTATCGCATGTACCTACATAACTGTACTTTTTTGCAGGACTATAAGGAGTTTTGTTATTGCATAATTTTCTGCATTGCACATTGTATTTTTTAGATAAAAATGCCTTTTAATTCAATAACGAAGTTTATATAGCTCAACGCAAAATGTTATATTCGAATATTAACACATGTGGTGTTCCATTAGAAGTGTGTTTTTGTCAAATGTTGAGAATGCAACTGCCAATTGTTTTTTCTGTTTTCACCATTGTAATCAACGTAAAAAAAACAAGTATGACAAAATAGCCCTCCAAAACCATATAAGATATGACAGTCAAAATTAGAGGAAAGATGGGCAATTAAAAAGTTTATTCAATTTATCATCATGCTTGAAAGAAAACCAGAAAATTTCGTATTCCTTTTTTTCTGATGACATTGGAACAGATCCAAAAAAATAAAAAAACTTTCCCATTGCGACTTTTTGAACCCTACAATACACCATTCAGAGATTTTATGTTTCGTTTAATAGAAATCATCAACTTTCCTTTTTATATGGCCCTTAAAAAAGTACCCACTGTATTGAGTACCACTTATTATACGATATACAGCACAGAAAAATTTCAACAGAATGGAGCACCTGTGCACGACGCCCTAATTATGTGAGAATACCAATCAGACAAATTTCCTGGCAAACGGAAAATTTTTGAAATTCAACGGTAAAGTGAAATAAATCATTGTGCATTCCAATGACATTTAATGTCTTTCCTATTAAAAATGAGACGCAAAGCACGAATTAAAATGAATTTCAGAACAAGTAACTATTGTTTCCATGGAATTTTTCTTTTTCTGATTTTTACGTCATAAAATAATCATACATTTAACTATGTATTAATAAATAACTTAATTATTAACAATTTATTTTCCTAATTCATTCGGTTAATTTAAATGTGAGTTCATGGTATCATTATTAAAATAACATTTTGTTTATTATTCAATGCTGTGATAGCATCGCAGGTTTCTTTAGTAACGCCTGGACTTCCATCTACTACACAATATCACTTGTTTATTGTGCTAGGATGTGGTGGTAAATTTTTCCATACTTTCCGCAAGTACATGCCTTTGAAGAATAAAATTCCAATAAAGTGCAAAACTTCAAATCTCAGGGAGTACTAGCATAAATTGCAATTACAGAGGTCCAGTATCCTAAAAATAAACAAACGTATGTGATAAATTACACATATTTGATATACTTACCATTCATTTATTTGAAGAATTGCTTGACACAAGATTTTTATCCTTAAGACGAAGAATAACATCTTTCAAACATTTAACTCTTTTATTGAGATATCTATTTTTGGCTTGCAACGATTTGATTAATTTATTTTTCTTCAATAATTCTGATTTGGCAAGTCTAACCACTCGTTTAGCCCTTCTGGGTGTTTCTACATCAGGACTACCTACTTCCGAAATATATCGTGGTTCTATAAACCACCTTATTTTAGGTGTGGAAGGGGCTAAAATAAAATTAAAAAAATTACTAATTGTGACATCCACGTGTAAGATAATTGGGAGTGTTCAGAAAGCAACACACTTTCAAGTACTCCATTATACTTTGGGTTCATGCTATGTAAACGTTAGTAAATCAATAGTATAATAAAACACAACAAATCAGTTGATGGTTCAAGTAAAGGCATGTAAAGGTGGTAATAAGCATAAGAATGCACAGCGAGAATCGAGCACAGAAAGTTCGTTCTTGGTTCGTACATTAATGAGGTGTTAGTAACAATAAACTGCTTGTCGCAAATCCCATGGGACGCTCGCATACTTATTTCCACCTTTTACATCACTTATCGTACATACCCGTTATATCTGATAGTACATTGTTGGTTATTTCATTGTTCTGCAAGACTTCTGGAATGAATGGAATTATTTGTGAAGTGAAAGTAAGTTGAGATGTACTAGTTGAAGCATGTTGAACCATGTCATCGCCTTCAGGTAGGATTTTCGGATTCATTTTTTTACTTGCTTTCATTTGCAGAGTTGGACATGCGTTTCTTTTAAGGGTTATGTGACCGCCATGCCTGCGTGCATTCAAATCAATGAAGTCATCATTGTTAAAATGACGAGAGCACAGTCTTATGTTTTTCACATTATCCAGTTCCGACAGTGTACAAGCTTGAAGCCACCGATTCTTGCTGTTTTTGTCACTTGGGAATCTAAAAGTAAGTATGATATAAATGATTCGCAGATAATTTTAACTTACTTGTGCAAGGAAACCGACGAATCCACTTTCCCGCAAATATAGCAGTAGCGCATTCTTCAAAACTAAATCTAACCTAAAATTGTAAAACATTAAGTATTTTTTTACAATTATTGTGTATTACTTACCTACACTAATTTATACAACTACAAAAGTCTTTACTTTAAAATTACACTAAAGGAAGTCGATAACACACCAAAAACACAGCAAAAACATTAACAACAAACTCCTAGCAAACAATTGAACAAAATCCGTTGGACTTGGACGGTTGACCGTTATGTCACAGAACAGTATCACAAAACACTCAAGCGTAGCGTAGTTATGTTGTTTGTTGTTCTATGGTTATGTCAAACAGTGGTAAATGATCAGATGGGTAATTATTTCAAATGAATCTATTTAAAATACTATTTTGTATTTTGTATTTTAAATAAAATTATAAAAACTATTTTATATTTAGATTTAGATAGATTTTTCAAGGTATTTTATATTTGAAACATTTCTGAATGAGAGACGATGTTTTTTTTTAGTAGGTATTTTCTTGCTTTATGATAATAACCCTCAAACATAATAGAGAAAGATGCTTGACTTTCAGTTTCCACAACCATTTTCATTACAGAAATCTGTAACAGGTAGATAGCAATGTAGATAGGCGTTTATTTGAAATATTTAGTTGAAATCCTATTTTCTATTTGGTATTTTAAATAGAAATACCTAAACCTATTTAGTATCTTGTATTTAAAATAAAGCATTTGTTATTTCGTATTTTCTATTTTAAATAGAAGTATTTTACCCAGCTCTGTTAAAATGACGTACATACAAGCGCACTCTAGGTGATTATAGGTCCTATCGTTGAGTCCCTAGACAAGGAAAGAGAAGTTGAGTCATAGAAAACCTAACCAGATTGCGTAAATTTTATATCTGAACATATCTCCGATCTTCAATTCTTAAGTTAAGGCGATATTAAATGATGCAATTTTTATTGCAACTCCTACGGCAACTATTGCTGCAATTATTGTGATTACACTATATGCAATTTATTTGGCAATTTTTTATACACCATTCCAATCAATATGGATAATACTTGAAAACGATATGTTCAGGTCAGTTTTGTAGCTCACGTGATTCTTTTGTTTTCTTTCTTGCAGTTTATTTCCCCACGTGTACCGCAAATACTACGTAGACGTACTGATTGACTAAATATGTGGACAAAAGAGGTTGTGAGAAATTGCGTCTCTCATCCAGGGGTTGTAACCCATATGAAATATAGGTTCCGGTTCCACACTATTTAAGAAGAAGAATTTAAGGTTCGGTTTTTAAGGGTTCCAATATAAATAAATAAAATTGTTATTAAAAATATAAATTATATTATTATAGAAAACATACAATAATACACAAAATTAAATTATATTTTTCTTTTGCATATACATATATTTAAATGTTTAATTTGAAACCTTTATTCATTGATTGAAACTTATTATTTTTAGCTGACGCGTTCGTTTCACCTCTAATCAGTTGTTCCTTTTCTTCAGCAGTAGTTTAAACTATTGTTTTCCTTGTACACTCTTCAACCCTTTTTCTGCTTTTTTGGTATTAGCACAGATATCCGCTCCGCAAATCTATGGTACCTATGTCACTCCGAAATATTTTATATTTGTTTAGCATATTGATTAAGTTGGTAGAAATTAGTGGGCACCTCTAAATAAAAATATTCAAAGATAAAAGCCAGAATTTGGATTTAAGGCTTTTGAAATTCCTTGCATATTCTATGTCCAACTTCAGAAGGCCATCAAGTTGATTAAGGATAAAGAAATAACTATGTCCAAATAATGGTGATCGCAATAGGCACCAGGCTCGAGCTACGAAGCTAAATATATTATTAATTGGAAAAAGCACAATTTCAAAAACTACAGTACACAAATAAGTTAAAAACATAATTTAATGCAAAATTTGAGTACAATAACATCTCTTCCTTGTGATTGTTTGAAATTAAAATGCTTCAATAATAAATTGGGTCATTTTATTAAGTACTGGGGTTATCACATTACTATACGAGTCGAGTTGTTTGTATATATTTCTGTGGTTAAAAGGGCCAAGCGCATTTGAAGTTTCTTGGAAAAGTAGACAGGGAAAGTGAAAACCATTCTCCAATATTTCTATGGTTGAAACAGTTTTTCATATAGCGACAGTTGACTGTAGCTTATTGCACACACAAAAAATTGAAATCAACATAAAATGTATTTACCTAAATAGTAACAATAAAAAACAATAAGATATCACTTCCTTGCATTCGTTTTCACCTTCTTCTTAGTTAATTTAACTTTGTTTACACTTTCTTGACTTTCCTTTTTCACCAATTTTTTTAACCCTTCCAGGGCTTCCGTGTACTGCTCACTTAAAGGTTCTAGCACCTCTTCTGATATTAAAATCTATAATAAAAAAACCATTATGACATAGATACCAGAATTTACAACCTCTTCCAAATTCCCTTTTCCTGCTGCATTCAACAAACCCTGAAACCCTTGCACCTCTGAATGATTTAGAATTGTAACGGCCAAACCAAGCTCTCCAGCCCTAGCGGTACGGCCAGCTCTGTGAATGTAAGTTTTCAAAAATTTGGGAGAAGTGTATGAAATAACGCATTTCACACTGGCCAAGTCAATACCTCGTGCTAATTTATCTGTGCAAATAATTCTGGAAGCGGAAAATTAAAAAAAGACAAAGAAAAGTAAAAACCTACATATCTACGATTCCTCTTGAAAACTCTTCAATTAATTTATTACGTTGCTTGGTTAAAAATCTTGAAGAAACTTCCACAACTTTTCGTTGATCCTTAAAGAATAACTGTAATAAAATGGCCAGCCTATGTGCACTTTTGACTGAGTGAGTGAAAACTAATGTTCTCTTTAAATTTTCCTGTTTGATGAATTGATATAAAACCAATGGTTTCAAGTCTGCAGAACACTGAATATATTTTTCAGTTAATTCTTTTGGCGTAGTATATTTGCCAATAAAGGAATCTGTACTAATTTTATCGGCTTTGAAATCTTCAACAACTGATGTAAATAATTTCGGCTGAAACAGTGACAATTTTTGTATTTTTTCCGGATCTTGTGACAAAGTAGCGGAGAACAATAGTTTTTGTGGGGGTCTTGGCTTGTCAAGTGTAAACAGGTTTAGAATTCGAAAATCTGAAAGTGACTGGATAAGAAAATGTCAAGTTATTGCATCTTACCATGTTGGTGAATGTGCTCTTCCAAATGATAAAGCCAGTCATTCTGAATATTGTCTAAAACTCTGTCGGCTTCATCAATGATTAAAAATTTCAGTTCACTCAAATCAAAACCCTTGGTCTCTTTTAAATGATGTACTAATCTCCCTGCTGTACATACAAGAATGTCTACTTTACTGTAATATCCAAATACATTGTCTACAAACAAACTTCAATTACTAGTCTATACTTAAAAGCTTGCAGGTATACTTTTCATTATAAGCTCATTTTGCTCTTGAGCAAATGTACTTTTTCCTGTAATTAACGACACCTTCAAATGTGTACCTCTCACATATTTATCAAATGTCTTGTAAACTTGAAATGCTAAATCTTGTGTAGGTAGTATAACCAAGGCACGTATTTTCTTCGTTACAAAACAGCTTAATGACTGTATTACAGGTAGCACAAATGCCAATGTTTTCCCACTACCTGTAGGTGCTGATACACAGATATCTCTTGGTATAATAAGATTCGATTGTTGATGCGATTTAATTAACCATGGAATAACTTCTGCTTGGACCGGAAAAAAGTGCTTCACGCCGTTATCTTTCAAGGTTTTCCTAAGTGTTTTATTGAGACATTTCATGTTTGATACTTTGCATTGCAAATCCTGTAAATTAACCGTAATCAATGTCGGATTTGATAACCACTTTGGAAGTATGCGTTTTATCTTGGGCTTTTTATCGTATTTGTCCGTTCCCAAAATTGTAAACCCTTCACCTTCCACTTTAGGAGCCACATTTTGTTCTTCACTCTGCTCAGTAGCTTCCACAAGATTGGAAGGTCCATCAATTGGATCATTCAAACTGCGAGTGTCAGATTGTAAGTCTGCTTGCATTTCACGTTTTTTTCTAATCCTCTCCTTTTTTCTGTTGATAATAATATTTTTGATGGGATTCTTGGTTTCATTGCGTTTAATTCTTTGTTGTTTTCTCTTTTCAATTTTCTTCAGAAGTCGCGTAATGTTACCACTTTCGTCAACCACCCTATTTGTTTCTTCAGGTCTAAAAGAAAACGGTGAAATACACTCAATCGTACTGAGCATTGCAATACCTATTTACTACAAACAAATCCATGTTAAATTATTAATAAATAAAATAGTACATTAAAGCAAAAAATTAGAGGTTATGCAAGCATAACATAACCAAAATCATGCTTTACATATAGTGTCTCTTGTCACGGCAAGGAAAAAAAATATATGCACATTAGAATGTGGCTAAGTTGCAAACTTTTTAAATATTTCTTTTGAGAACATTCGATTCCATTTTAAAGATTTGAAGACACACGAGTGGATTGTGGATCCGAATCCGGTGCAAGACTATTTATACCATTATTTTAAACGGATTCAAAAGGTGGAAATATGGGGTGTTCGATTTGTGTAGGGGCCTATATTTTTCATTTTCCTACAATCTATATTCGCGATTCAGAGTAACACTAGAGGCGCTGATGTAATTTAAAAATGGCGTGTATTGGTGAAACTAATTTGAAAGTGAATTGAATTTATCCTGCGGTTTATGAGATTTCAAAATATATCCCCTTAATCCTATCCTACCTAAAAGACCTTTTGCTTAATAACTCGAGGCTGTCTTGAATTAGCTTGAACCTACAATTAACTTAATTTTCTAATTACCATGAAAGATCACAATTACTTATCATTCAATTTCTAGAGCGCACTCGTATAACTGTACAACAACTCACCGACATTCCCTTACGTTGATTTTACTTTAAAACAGTCTACTTACACTACATGCCACAATTACACTGACCACATTTAAACGATAGGTATTCTTCCATGTGCCGTGCTTTAATAAATAACGATTTTTAATTTTGTTACTATTTGTGGCATAGGTACCTACTCGATCACACAAACTGCACATTACATCCTTGAATTTATGCCGTTTATGTTATTGTTTGTTGCAAGATTGCACTGATCATATGACCTTTTAAACTATCATTGCTCTTTAAGATGTAATTACTACGAAAGCGTAGAAGGGCCACATACTCTCCATTTTTACTTGCAATTGCGATTTACTATATCGCAATTGCGTCTTAATAACTTGCAATTGCGACTTACTATCTCGCAATTGCGACTTACTATCTCGCAATTGCAACTTATAATTCTCCATTTTGTACATTACTAGTCTTAACTTAAACATTCAACAGGTGAAGTGTTACACTTATTCTCTGAGGTGAGTAAGCAAGCGAGCATCCAGTTCCACAAATACCTTTAATCATATAAGACGCAATGCTAATAGTTGAGTCAAGCAAATAAATTACATACGAAAAAATTTTTGTGCGCATGCGCAGAACGCAACTTGCTTATTTATGGAGCAATTTGAACGAAATTTTGATGGTAGGTCCTTTTAATAAGAGCAAATAAATTGCTTGCACAACAAATTTTGTGCGCATGCGCAAAACGCAACTTTCTTATTTATGGAGCAATTTGAACTAAATTTTGATGACAATTCAACTCATGTATAAAAAATCGCATAAGCCGCAGTGCAATTGTCACTTTGACGGCGGCAAAAGTTACCTGCAACTTTTCCAGCGACAAATGCACGAGTGGTTTTTTCACTTATTCATTTTCGAACCAAATATCGTATTATCCTGTCCCATATGACTAGATGACGTCTGTCAATAATTGATTAGTTTGGTGAATTTCTTGTTCGTTAAATTGTCCTGCCGAATTACACTCGAGGTTTGTATTTAAACCGAGTAAATTTGTGTTGTTGCAATTCAAATCTGTTGCCTTTTAGCAATTGAACTCTAAAAACTGTCAACCTAAAAATGCTCCACCTTCGGTGTCGCATTTTTATTAGTTGACAGTTTTTCTCGTCTAATTGCTAGGCAACAGATTTTCATTACCTAAACAACCCAAATTTACTCGCTAAAATACAAACCTCTTGTGCAATTATAAGTGATAATGATTTAAAACTTAGAGAAAATCTTTGCGTTTTTGAAAACTGTATTTAGTCATCAGTATTACCATTGAATAAGAATAGTGTTTTTATTCAATGGTATTCATTCATCATCATGTTTTGAATATTTGGAATTTACTCCACCAACCTTAGATTAAAGTTGTATAAATACATTGTACTTACCTAAATTGTAACCAGTCTATACAAAATGTTTAAGACTGCCTTCTAGGTATATTTTGTTCAGGCATTCCGTTATTTAAATCCGTCATTTTTAGATGGATAAAGAAACCAGCTATCACCTTTCTACAGCACTGGAAGAGTTTCTAATTGGACGAAATGTAGCAGAAGATACTCTAAATTACCTTCGACTACATAAGGTATTATGTTCTGTGGTTATGTATGATTGCTTACACACTAATATTACTTTCTTAGATTGACACGGATATTATTGCTTTAATGGATGAAACGGAACTTTCAAAATTATTTGCATCTTATGGAGATAGACTTGCTGTTGTAGATTTTTGTAAACGACAAGTTCATACAAACAATCGCAAAATCAGTTTGTTTGATCGTCTTCGCAAAAAAGTGTCAAACAAACGCAAACATAGTAACTCTTACAGCGAAGACGATGATTCAATGCAACCAAGCAGTACAAAACCCCGAAATGGTAAAAATACGAGACTCATAAAACTTGGATGGTTTCACTACAATGAAACATTCAAGGAACCGAAGCAAGTACGAGCAATTAACGGAGGCGGTAGTAGAGATGTTCGCGTACCTAAATATTACAATAAACAAGACATCATTGACGAAGGATGCAATCTATTTTTCCCTAACGGTACATCTTCAAAAGGACTAAAGTTGTCCGATATGAACACTACCCTATTAGACTTTTGTGCTAAAGAACTAGAGGATGAAGTAATGACCATTGAACAAATGTTTCAAACTGCTAAAATAACGCGACTCCACCTGTATTTGTGCACTACTCCAAAGAAAAGAAAGGAAGTATGTGAGACTGTCACAAGTGAAACTGCGGATACAAGGGGCACCAGCGACACAATGTATGGGGAAGTACCAACACAACTTTCTTCTGACCTTACGGAATTCCAGTGCAGTTACAACATTGAAGATTTCCTTTGTTTACCACCGGATGCAGTGGTTGCAAACGACAGGTTGTTAGCAACACAAATACAAAACGAAGAGAACGACGGTTTCATTTTGTCATTGGAACAGAATACTGAGAATACACCTGTTACTCCTGTGAGTCCAACAGCCGATATCTCGATTTGTCTTCATAGAGGACGGGTATTTGAAGAGCTAATAAATATATTTCTGGAGAGAAGAATGGTCGGTAGTAAAATACATGTAACTCTCATGCTCCCCAATGGTGAATTGGAGTGTGCCGAAGATTTGGGTGGGGTATGGAGGGATGCACTTAGCGAGTTTTGGAATTCCATGTATGAAAAATGCACAATCGGTACAAACATTAAAGTTCCCCAACTAAGACACGATTTTGGAGTAGAAAAATGGTCAGCAATCGCGGAAGTATTAAAACAAGGTTGGATTACTGACAAGTATTTTCCCATCAGATTATCGAAATGTTTCATGGAATACACAATTTTCAAACAATGTTCTGGAGACGTAACTACCGATTTTTTTGGTTACATTAGCGAAGACGACAAACAGTATTCCGTGAGGCAATTGGCCATTTTGAGTCGATTCCTACGGACGAACTCCTTGATGTGTTAGGTCGTTACGATTGTAAAACTCTGGCGAAAGAAGATAATATTAAACAAATCATTGACGAACTAGCCCACCAAGAAATTCTTCAGAAGTCTGCTTTCATATCTGATTGCTTTAATAAAGTCCTAGTAAATTTGGTAGATGTCAACGAATTTAATGAAATTTATAGAACTAGCAATCCAACATCTAGAAACATACTAGCAGCTTTGTTATATGATGACAACTTGTCCGAGGAAGCAGAAAAAGTATCTGCTATGTTAAAGAGATATATACGTGAGGCTCCTGAGAATATTCGTATGGCTTTTCTAAGGTTTGCAACGGGGGCTGACATCCTTTTGGGTAATAAAATAAAAATTATATTTTCCAAATCTGATGGTTTCAGCCGTCGACCGATTGCCCATACATGCACAAATACTTTAGAAGTTCCCGATTGTTATGATAATTTCATGGAGTTTCGTTCAGAATTCAATTGTATATTAACCTCTAACATCTGGATAATGGATATTTTTTAATTTTTACATATTTTATTTTATAATTTTACCATAATAAGAATGATTGTTTCGTTTTATTACTAAATAAAAAATACGTTCGGCATTATTTGAAAATAAACTGGATAAATTAACTGTAGGTATCTGTAACTCTGCGAGATTGGTTTATTCAAGGTTCAGATTATTGGGAATAATAGCAAAAAATTAGATTAACGATTTAACGGTTATACCTATTGTACGACTGAGTTTACATCACAGAACAGGAAATGTTTAATTCAAATAACTTCGAAATCTGTAACCTGCTTGAATTCCTCCAAAGGATATACATACCTTAGGTACCTACTTACATATGTACGCAGTAGTTTTTTTTTAACCAACTGGCAGTTCCTTTGGAGTTCGTATCTCGACGGCGATTGTACACTTACAACGGACAATCTTACACATATACAGTCTATCTCAGGAAAGAATGCCGGCCACAGAACACTTGATGCCGATCTAAAATCGATGGTTTAATATGAAAAACATGGCAAATTACTTCCGTAGTAATAATACTTTGATTAGAATATATTTTCTAATCAGTATTATTATTAGGGAAGTAATTTGCCATGTTTTTCATATTAAACCATACGATTATAGATCGGCATCAAGTGTTCTGTGACCGGCATTCCTTCCTGAGATAGACTGTACGTATTTTTCATCTTTATTAACCTGCTTAATTTTTTTTGCAAATGGATCTACTTATTTATTGTGCGGTTTTACAACACTATAATAAACATGATAGTTTGTTCCGTAAGTATAAGTACACATCAATCGCATTATACGGATCGGATGGAATATTTTCTACTGCAGCTTCATTAAGTAGAATATTACAAAGTTCAAAAACATTCTTATCACAGGGACATTCTTGATCAAGAAATACGCATTCTTCACGAGCAATTTCCAAGTCGTCAAATTCAACGGAGATCAAATAATCATTACTTCGATATATTTCAGGAATATGGTACATAATTAATGGTTTTCCTCTTGGCAATATGCTGTTCTTCGATGAAGATCTATTATGCGAGTTCCATTCCAAAACCACGCTGTTCAGCTCTGACTACACAAAAAAATTTTAATGTGATAAATAACAAAATAACTAAGTTCAAAGCGTACCTGGATTATTCGAAGGAAGCAAAATTGGATTAGTGCTTTTTCCAAGTAAGAACCATTAAAATAGCCATCGTCTTGAATCTTTTTAAATAAATTCATCCAAAACTCCGCGTTGTGCTTTCTTAATATTCCCCACCAGCACTCAATTTTTTGATTGGCTGTACTTTTACCATAAAGAAACGCTGGTCTGTGGATATTAATACCCGTATCTCTTCGAAAAAATACCTGCATTTGTTCGATGTGGCGGTTTTCCGTACCCATATCGGCCCTGATGGTCAATGGTATGCCTCCAATCTTTTGTATAGTGTCAACAAAATAACCACCGATAACACGGGGATTGTTATTAGTTCTCCCAGCCTTCATCCACATAATATGGCGCGAAAATCCATCTATACACCCATTAATTCCAATACCAAACGGCTTTAACTTGTCATAAGAGTCTACATGCCATAAGTAATTTGGTCCTTTGTTATTGTATTGTCTTCTTCGAAGTCTTCTCCTTGTTCTTATTTCAACACCCACGGGATCAATGGATTTCAAAAGTCGCCGAATAGTTTCCTGCCGAACTACAAAACCTTCTTGAATGCATTTGAGGTGCATCCAACGATATCCATGAAGCTGCCCTGATTTGGATACCTGTGTCCTTAAATAAGTATGTAGCCACTTGGTTTATTGGAGAATATCCTTTCTTTCGAAAAAGTTTTAAATTTTTCAATCTTCTTTTTAAAGTCCGAAGGCTAATATTACAATTATGTTATACTTTAAGGAAAGCTAAAATTTCATCGTTGGACAACCCGAGAGTAAAATAAAATGTGATCAATTGCGTTTCACTCATTTTTGCAATGCATGCAATACGCGACAAACGTACAACATAGACTAAGGCTTAAGGCAAGCTAATCGACAGTAGGTATCAATTGTAATATTATGAGTTTATAAGTCGCAATTGCGAGATAGTAAGTAGCAATTGCGAGATAGTAAGTCGCAATTGCGAGATAGTAAGTCGCAATTGCGAGATAGTAAGTCGCAATTGCGAGATAGTAAGTCGCAATTGCAAGTTATTAAGACGCAATTGCGATATAGTAAATCGCAATTGCAAGTAAAAATGGAGAGTATGTGGCCCTTCTACGCTTTCGTAAATTACAGTGTTACAAATGAAAGTTTGCAAGGGTATTTGCCTTTACGCAGCCGTAAAAACTACTGTTGTTTACGTTTGACCGTTGTAAATAAACAAAATGGCGAACTTATGGCCGTATGCACCGAAAAAGTTTAAGCTGAGCGTAGCAATGATCCATGGCAACCATTGTCCCAATAATCGTTACCATGGAATGGATAGGTATTAGCTACGCTTGGCTTAAACTTCTTCAGTGCATACGGCCAAGTAATTACAATGTGCTGCCACCAGGTTTCATTGTTAATCTGAATAGCAAATTCACTTCGTCTACCCAACGTTTCGAAGTGTTGCCACCTTGTATTTCATTATAGCTTGTATTTCATTATAGCACCCTGGAATGGGAGCAACACGTACAGTAACTCTGTCAACATAGTGTAGGGAGTAATGGTCATACAGCGGTGCTATTTTCTTTCATAGTTGTTTTTACCAAATTAATTGGATTGGAATAAATTAAACACCAAGGCGATGAAGGTCACCTTGTTGGGACCATTTGTGAATGTGCCAATACTATGCATTGCAATTTGTAACCATGGCCGCCAAATCTACCTTTTTGGTTAAACCAAATGGTAAATTTAGAAAAACATGACAGACATGGACCATATGGCCGCACTCAGCACTGTCTTTGTTACCACGGGAACGGACGCACTCGATTAGGTCAATTGACGTCACAGGCAGTACAGACCACTACCGTTGTAATTACTCAATGCCACTACTGTGTTGAGCACTGAATATTTAAACATATATTTCTCATTTATTGACGATAAATATGATGAACATCATGAAACTAGTCCATTGAACTAAATATATGTTTTAAGCCAACTTTGATCAAACGTAGCGTTTACAAAAAGACTTGTAGGAACAGCATATTTGCAAAATGCACGGCAAATATTTCACCCCTTCTAGGCAATTTGTCGATATTTTTCCTAAACCTAACCATCTGAATGTAAGATGAATCAGCTGGATGTGGGAAAAAATCAGAAGAGATCTGATACCAGCAATGTACCTACCAGTGTCTGTGAATACCTGCGAAAGAAAAGAAAAACGGAAATGAAATAATGGGAACATACTAAATTAGGGAGGATGACTACTAGAACTCAATGTCAGCAATTGCGCGTCCCGCAGGTGAATCAGGATCACACACCTACAATTTTAAAGTATGACTCACGAATTAAATACATGTTGCAGTTTCCTAATTTGGCATCTTTTCGTATTCGGCGTCAGCAGAAAAAAGATATAGATCAATTAAAATAGAACGCAGCTATGATTTCATGTAGTTATAGGTCATGGTCTATCAATGAACTACATTAACGAAATAGCTATTGGCACACGTATAAAAATACTAAACAGGTACTTTACTAACTTTTAAAGCCTTCATGCGATTTTTATCCAAATATGCAGATTGGGGGGGTAAATAAAAAGTAATCCCGTTACATTTTCTCATTACGGAAACGGTACGTGCCAAAGAAAAGGCTGCCGAACTTCTGCAAACAAGGTACTTTAAATTCTTATATCTAGCAAGAATAAGATTAGGTAAAAGTGTTTGGGTTTATTTGTTTGAAACAAGTGTCAGGATGACCTGTTTGGCTATAAAAATAGGTACACCGCAATTAACTGAATCATGGAATTGACGTTGCCAACACAACCCGCTATACTGTAAAAATGTAAGACGTACATTTGTGCTTAATTATATTTTTAGCAAATAAATTAAATTAGCCACCAGTGGACATCAAGTCTTCAACCCTCAAGGGTGGCCACTGACCAGTGTATTTACATGTATAACGAAACGACTTTGAAATTTTAATTAGAACAAGTGCCAAACTAGTTTTAAAAATATAAACATGATCGTTAAAGTTTCAGCAAATGCCATTAACATCGCATTGGTTTAAAATGTTAACATCTACATGGAGACATTTCCCTTTTTTTGAAAACATGGAATAGTAAGGTCCCACCGATTTTAAGCGTTGGCTCATTATATTAAAGCACAAATAATCTGTGATTAAAGTGAGCACGCATCCGTTCAACAGACCCTATTACAAAAATTTTCGATTAGCACTACTATTTCCATGTTTTCTTAGGAAACATTGGCACTTATGCTTGTCTTCAATATTTAGTACTTCACCCCTGTTCCTTAAAACCTGACATCATTTTAATGCAGATTTTATGTACCAATTGTCTTTGTCGTATAATACAGTGTTTGA